GTAGACTACGCGATAATCAGTATCACAACTGGAGTCAATTCCGATTAGCGAAAGAGTATTAGTACATACGTCGATATATTGCATGATCAACAGCGTCTACTCTTCATGCGTCCCAACTTGCGGTTTTAGCATCAAATGCCTATTTCTCCCTGTACTGGATAATCTAGCTTATAGCGCGCCATTATATGGATGGATTGTAGACAGTTTAAATTTCTGATAACCTGCCTCCGGAGCCTTTGGATGACAGCACTTTAATCCTCAAACATTACCAGTCTCTGGTTCTCCGAAACCGGCTTTCTATGACTTACGACTCACAGTTCGCGATGTGCAACGATCACACTTGCCTAGTTGCATCATCTTTAGACCTTTATTTTCGTGCCGCGTTTGTCAACCGGCCTCCTCAAAGCCTGCTTTTTGTTTTAGATGATCATTGGAGTTGCCTTCCAGTTCTACAGTAACCTCTTCCAACTCATTGAGCTCGCCGGCTTCGCCTTTGCGCTCATTGCCGCTCTGGCTGTTCTCGGCCTCCTTTACCTTCGTTATAAGGATCCCAATTTGAAAACAGACTTCCAGGTGAGAGTTATTTTTTTTTAGTGAAGACTGGCGGGGTGGGTTTCTTCGGAAAGCATTTGGCCTCTAACCAAGGCAATTGTATTAACCCAAATCTTGAAACGTTCCTTATGCGGCATAATTATGAGTCTTGCATGTACTCTTAATAATATAGAAGAATTTAGGGTTTCTCTTACATGAAAAGCATATAGCGTGTACTTGGGGAATTTACGAACTTTGTTAAACCAAAACATGTCTGTCCTTCAAGTATAAATTTGTAAGAACACATTGTGTACTACAAATGAGTACAACATGGGATACTTTTTCTGACTTTTGTAATATTTATTTCATTGCTTAAGGACATCTGAGTACTCTTTTTTACCGAGTATGCTCAGATTTGAAGAAGTAAGAATTCCTGGATAAGAATTATAGTTCATCTTCTGCTCACTGGAATAAATTTGTAGGTTTGCCGACGTTTCGGACAGCTGGACTGGCTGTCCTTTGTCGAGGCGAATAGTGACTTTATCGATCAGCGAGTTTAAAGTGGCGGCTGTGCGTATTGGCCTTGGGTTAATCGATTTTTCTCCGGTCGCTGTTTGGCCATGCGTGTGGATTTTGGCTTGGCGTGACGGCAGTTGGTGTTCTGTTTCGTCCCCACAACTTTAAACTTGCTGATCGATAAAGCCAATATTCGCTTCGACAAAGGACAGCCGGCCCAGCTGTCCGAAACGTCAGCAAATCTACAAATTTATTCCGGTGAGCAGAAGATGAACTCCAATTACCGAGTATGGTTCACGCAGTCGGCCGGAATGGAGCGCGTTTAAAATCCGGCCTCTTAGCATGCCTGAACTATTTTGATATGACGAGTCCACATGGGTAATCCTTTCTAATCGAAAACACATTTCAGAAATTCGGTTTACATTTCATGGGGTACGCCACTTAGAAGCTCCTGTGCGCGAGTGAGCCGTCTTTTTTAAACTTTCTTAGCATAGTTATTGATTTCCCATTCGGTGGGCGTCCGATTTGTGCTTTAGGGAGCTGATTGCATTGCTTTCGGCAGGACTGTCTTTAGAGGCCTTTTTCGCCTTTTACTTATAACAATAACCTACTGTTACATTTTCAGTAACCCAACTTTCCTTTTTTCCATTAACCCCGCCAATATTAGGCCGAATTTCCCGCAATTGGCATCAGTATCCTGAGCAACAGGAGTTTATTTCGATGGATTTTGTACATTGAAACAAGTATAAGTTTCTGTAGTTTAATATTTTTGGATTACTGCTACCACAATTAAATATTCATTTACACTCACTAACCACGAATGAAATGTTTGATCACGAAATAGGTTAGACAGTTGGCCGTACAAGGCAGTTTTTCCCGAGCTTCTTTACCAGAGATTTTATTATTTTCCGTTTCAGCTGCCAATCTTCTTCCCCATTCTCTTCCTCCTCTGTGACATATTCATTCTCTGTCTGACCGCCTACCAGCAGCCGAAGGAGTCCCTATCAAATATTATTCTCATGCTGTCGGCCATTCCCATCTATCTGATCTGTGTCAGCTGGAAACGGAAACCTAAGTCATTTACCAATTTCTTATGTAAGTACTGTCTTTTTCACCTAGCTCTAGTCGAAGTTTGAAATCACGTTTGTTTTTTCTATCCTGTGCAGTTAACATTTTTTCTTTTGACGTAAGCGGACCAAACACTTGCTCGACTGTACATCTAAAAGATCTTGATGTAAGAGCTAATGGTAGTCTCTGCGGTTGCAAAAAAAAGCAGATGGTCAGAGGGTTTTGTTTCTTGCAACTCGATGTTAACTGTTCTATATCAACATTCTATGATTTATTGTTCTTCTGATGACTACTGCCACTACCAATACTTTTAAAGTAAGCATAAACAGCAGGATTAAGTTTGTACAAAAAAATTTCGGGACAGCTTTTCAACTACTTCCTGTCTTTGCATGAATTAGATAACAAATGCAGAATGCAGCCGTTTGAATTTCCAGAGAATCAATAACACTGAGGTCATTTTTCAACGCCACGTCCTATTCAGAGAGTATGGTGGTTCAGTTAGGCGCACTGTTTTCTACAAGACTACCTGGAAAGGCCAATACCTACATTTACTTAGCTCCGTGGCAACACATGGGAAACGAAATCTGGTACTTACACTTTTCCAGAGAGCTAAGAATATTTGCTCCAGTGGGACCCTATCTGCAGAACTTGACTGCACTAAAGGGGCCCTACTTAAGCGTGCCATCCCTCACGTTTCATTAAAAAATA